AAATACACCAAATGATCATATATATCTCTTGCTTACTAGTTTATGTAAAAGTTAATCTTCATAAGGTGTCCCTACCTAACAACAGTTTCATGTCATTTCTATAGAATGTGGCCAGTTATTTGAATTATAATCTAGTATACCGTCTGATACCTAACATAACAATACTAAATTCACGGACTGAATATTTTCGCATGCAAAACAACTAATAAATTTGTGATCTTAAAATACACAAAGAAACCCTAACCAAAGAAATGAAAGTTTTTCGCCTTTACCAGTTGACATATATGTGCAACGAAATTTAGTAAATAAGGTCAATCATACCGTATAAGGCGTACTGTCTGGATCCACGGAAAAGAATCCAACCCTTTCAAACTGATACCGATCATAGACTTTCCAATTTGAAATGGATTTATCGATATATACTGGTTCCAAAATTTGCAATGAATTCTAAATAACGGTGTAGTAAGAGACTGATTTCACCACTTCAGGAGTGAGTATAAAATAATTAGTGACACATCTAACAACTTTTGCTAGATCTCTAAAATAATATTGACCTATTGACTTCATATATAAAGCAGATGCTTCGAAATGGAAATACACTAAAAAATTCGATGATCACGGTATGCTCATTGAATTTTGATATATTGTTTCTAGAATGTAAAATAAAACTAAACACCCTTCTGTTTCCTCATGAATACAACGTTAAACTTGGAACCAAATTCAATATTAAGCTATTAAAAAGTTTACAAACGGAAATTTAGCACAACGAAGCATTATTAAATAAAAATTCGAATTTGAAAATATCTCCTCGAATTGATATTTCAGAATCATGTAATTCACGAAAAATAACCTAATCCTATTATTGATGCACAATAATTTATTATTTATTTATCATAATTATACAAATCATTAATACCTCATTGCAATCTGATATAAATCCGCCGGGAACTTCATTTCCATCCTCTGGATTTTTATGTCGAAATCTAAAACAGAAAACAAACTAATAACGACGAAGCGAGTTAATTTTAAATTTAAGCAAGAAATCTTATTAACCTTTGTTAAAATTAAATGAAACATTGTCTGTTTTAAATGTTACTGTTTTTAAATATCGTCTTATCCTAATATTTTTAGTTAATAAAAAATAAATATTTATTTTTGGCTTTAAATGTGACGAAAAATATGGAATGCACGGAAGACATACAGTCGTTCGTATATTCGAACTTGGCAATAAGTTGGATTTGCTACCCAATGTAAATATGCTTTTGGTCTATTCTCGGCAGTGATTTTTACTGCTTTCACCATCAACTCTATCACCTCACCTCTGTCATTCTGGAACAAACATCAAATTACGACTCCAACATTGCGGAAACATGAAACATAGCAACCAATCACTGTTGAATAAAGTTGACTAATAATGGCAACATGCCATTAACAAAACTGATAATCGTCTGACGTAATCTACATTTTAGACCATAATAATATACAACAGTTTCATGCGCATATACTGTTTTACTACGTTCAAGCGGAAGAGCAGGAAAATGTGGTAAGATACTGCTTCTCAGTAGAAAAACTTCATGCATTCTTTGTTAGGGACTTATTGGACCATTGCAACTGGAATAAAAGTTGCGTGTGAGAATATACCTTTAATTCACTGGTAAGCGATATAATGACTCCGAGATATTTCAAACCAACTAATTTGTTCTTCGCTAGTCGAAGGAAATCCTTATCCGTTTCACCCTGCAAGCAACAATTCACTTTATTTGCAATTTACAAAAAAATATTTGATGACAGCATAAGAAACATATTTAGACACAATTACAGATACTCCTCTAACATTTTACCTCACGATAATCTGATCGATCGATGAAAATAACACGATCCACAGCAATCGTATGCTGTTGTTTACTGCGATCTGGATCATTTGGAAAATCTGGGACCGATAAACTGCACGGTAGCGACAATTCATCGTAATTTTCAATAGTTACTTTGAGTGGATCCAATACAGCCATCGTTCTGCGCAAATTATAACGATAACAACAAATGACAGGGCAATTCATTATTTGAAAAGTTAGAAAAAACAAGCACGGTCCAACTGGATTTAATTTAAACGAACTTCTTTGTATCAACAAGACAATTCAAAACAATTTGTGTTGGTGAATGAATATGAGCAAAAGTTATGTTGTACAATTTTTCTTTTTTCCAATGACTTCAACGTAGACTTTCCAAAAATAGTCTTTTCGTAGACTTTTATTTTGAAAAATAAGAAGGAATGATGGAAACACTGGAGTCTCTCAAAATGAGTTTTAAATCAAAATCGATTGAAAAACTGCTATACCTTGGCGCACTTTTGTTCAAATAATCACGTGCGGTAGCATCCAGCAATTGTGGATCAATAAAGGTTTGTGCTGTGGTAAGGCCCAGTCCCATGATAAAATTATTGATGGCTTCTGGAGGAATACCCCGCCGCCGGAGTGCTGTCAATGTAAACAATCTTGGATCGTCCCAATCACTATGAAATTAAAGATTTTTAAGATGATAAATACTACTGGTTAATTATACTATATCGTCTACAGAAACATAGATGAAAAGCAGTTCTGATTTTCCATTTCTAGAAAAGAAAAAGAATATTACGCAACATGTTCCTAAAGTATTTAAATATAACAATTACATAAAATGTCTTGATGCAATACAATAACGTCCAATTTGTCAACACACCTCACAATTTTATTGTCGATTAATGCCTTGATTTTTCGTTTGGAAACAACAGAGTAATTCATATTTAAACGACCATATTCCCACTGTACTGGGCAATAAATATCCAAGTTATTGCAAAGCCAATAATAACTGCTACGTCTATAAACTATCCATTATTAAACTTGTCAGAAATTACAGAAAGAAAGCAGAAGAGTCTCAAGTATAAAAAGAAATATAGAAAAGAACAATATAACGATTTCAAGGGATGGGAATAAAAGTGCCGGGATATTTCGCATAATCGAAAATTATGAAGGAAAATTATTCCGAGTATTTTTGTAACTTTTTGCAGTTACAGATGCTGCTCCAGCGTTTAACGAGCAATGTTTTGACTTGGAAGTTTCATGCCATGTGCTCCACATTAATAACAGGTATTGCGAAGCTTGCTTTCCCACCAAACTCAAGGATCAGGATTATGCAGACAAATAAATAAAATCTGCTGGGTTACCTTGATTGGAATTCTTTGGTACATAACGAATGCGTTATATTTTCTAATGAATCGCACAAACAATGTGTAAAATCGTATGTTGGATAAACACACCTAAATAACAATGCATACTTTTGATGTTCACGATTTCGCAATGAAGCGGTAAAAGCTTAATAAAAATCAACAGATTACAGTTACACAAAACATCAGAAGAAATAAATCAAACCATTTATTTCCAGTGCGGTGATGAGGACAGTACTTGATTCTGTAAGCTACCGGATCCACTTTACCTTCTTCCAAAATAATTTTCAGTCGTAGTGTTGCTTCTCCTTCATTGAATTTACCGCGCCGCATGTCCTACAATTTCAATTTACAACTTTTGGTGAGATAACCATCAAACTCCTACAGACAACGGTATGATTTCTTCGAGAAAATGCTTGCATGTGTCTGGCAACAATATGAAGAAATAAACTCCTTTGATGATAAGCATCACATGACGTCAAGCGATTTCTAATACTTAATAGACATCAATTTATAGAATAAAACAAAGTTACTTCAAAAAGTTGCAAAGATTCTTCCACTGGGCGATTACGCCAAGGTGAAATGGTTACTTCAAAACCACGCATTTCATCAACAGCTTGGTGACAAACATATGCTACGCCTTTCTTAATCAGCACAACTGCCCATTCATATAGCTGGTCAAAATAATCTGATGAATACGTGATTTTATATGGTTTATAGCCTGAAAAAAAATAAACATTTATTCTACGAAATTTATCAGAGGTTGACTAAAAGACTAACCGTCGGATTCATAAATTCCTACCTAACCATTCCACCATCTCGATGATACTTTTGGTAAATTTTTCCTCTTCTTTTTCGGGATTTGTGTCATCAAATCGAAGATAACAAATTCCATCATGAGCCTGTAATAAATATGATGATTTATGACGCGACTTTTATATTTTGTATAACATTTCTGACTTATTCGATTAGCAAATTACCTTTGCATAACCGAAATTGATATTTATTGCTTTTGCATGTCCAATATGCAATATACCATTTGGTTCTGGTGGGAAACGAGTGACAACCTGTAATGTATACATTGTAATATATCCTAATTAACAATGAACATGCAATGGTTGAATGGAATCAAAATGGATAATAAATGGATCAAAACAATCATCTTTTCAGATTTCAAAAATATTTTGGAATCAGTCAAGCGAGTATTGAAATTAAAAGGTCATGCAAATTCTGACAAAACCAACTGTTGAGACGGGGAGAATAAGAAAAAAGTAACAAGAGGGAAAAATAGAAGAAATTATGGATGCTCAAAAAAAAAAAATGACTTTTCCCTTCACAGCCTCTATATGTTTCTTCAAAAGTTCCATAGTATTTGGCGTAATGACATAACCACCTGTTTTGTAATTTTCGCCGACCTAAAATGGAAAAAAAAATTCCATTAAACTTACTAGTATATGAAGTTACTGCATATTCGATTCATTCTGAATTTCTTCAAAAAACAGAATGTTAAAAATAAACCAACTTTGTGAAAAATCGTTTTTTTTCGCATTAATTCTTCGATGGTATCCACAGTTTCTTCTTCTGAAAATTATGAAGATATTAGAGTATACTTGTATCGTAATATAAAACGAAGCATGCAATATTTGTTTTTCATTCAATTATATTTCGAAAACTTTTCATTTTTCATTTGTACAGCATTTTAATGCATGAAATATCAAGACAGTCCACTTTACAACTAATATACTTTGTTGGTATATATCTACTAGTGCATTGTTTTCTTTTTTTATAGCTGTAAGTTTCTCAAACCTACTCAATGACAATGCACTATGGTGCTTGCTGTAAGTGAAAGAAACAGACATCCAGATAAGAACTACGAAGCAGTTCAAACTATGTAGATTATTAACCCGAAGCATTAGCAAGAGATATTCAATAGGATAATTGAAATTGATAAGAATAAAATTCACTATATGAGTAAAGGAATATTTTACAATAATTATGGTTTATATAATATATGGTAAAAAAAGGCAAATCAAAAGGGAACGGTATAACAGGAAAACTTACCTTTCTGTGCATTATTCGCTTCAGCATTTTTTGACATAATGGGGTCCGAAACGCTTAGAGCATTCTGTTCTGATTTATTTTTAGATGCTTTTTCTTTTTTAGGATAAAGGTCATCGACTGTCTTCGGACCCAACAGTAGCATTATACAAAGATCCACTTCGCGTTTCACAGCTGAACCGTCTGCCCATTTCAGCTTTGATTTGACATCACCTAGAAAGAGTTGAGTCAAGAGTTTCCAAACTATAAAATTGCATGGACTACAGATCGACAACTGTAATACCTATAAATATCGCAAGGAAAGTTGCACATAATTGATTGTAGGTCATGGATCTCATAAAAAAATTATATGCAAGGAAAAACATAAAGCATTTAGAAATACGGGATGTATAGCAAGTATTGTTATGCGAATTTTCAAAGGAAACGAAATTTTGGAATTGACAAACCAAGTATTTTTCCAATATTGAAGCTGTATCGCTGTTTCAGAATTTCTGGTTTGAATTTTTCGACTGATTCTTTAACCTGAAATAGCATTTAGCAATGATCGAGAGAACTGGAAGTTTATCCAGGATAAAGTTTCACCTCTGAAAACTCATCCGTGATCGATCTGTCCCGCTAGAAAGAAATCTCAATCCTTCCATATCCCTCCAACTTCCTGACAAACCAAAAAATAACACTTGCTCTGTCAGTATTACAACAGTGTATGAAACGACTTCATTTAAAAAAAGAGAAAAAAAAGTGTTTAAGAAAGATATTTTTATTACATCAAAACAATCAGGCATATATGTCGGAAATGAAAACAGGGTGATTTTAGCATTTCTAGAAGACGGCCTTCGAACAGAAAATGATGATCTGAAAACACAACATGAGTGGTACCTGATTTTGAATTTGATCTGCTGTGATAACAATACCCACACCGGATGCATCCAGAAATTCCTTTTCATCTATCCCTTTAACAGCATTACTAAGCAAATACTCGATAGCTGCAACAAGTTGTGGTTCCGTTCGAATATTTCCATTCATAACATGACGCACCACCAGTGGAGTATGCTGCTGGCACTGAGATTTCAGACGTGTCCCCACGTGGTATAGCAATGTGCCCTAAATAATTATACGATATTAGACTGCGTATACAAGCAAAGAAATACAGGGAAATCTGTATGAAACTAAATCTCACCGGACAAATTATTTGACAAATAAAAAGAATTCATACACTTATTTTTAATGCTACACATATAAACCTGTCTTTTATAATTTGTGGAAATAAGATACGCAATAAATATTCATCAGCTCATAATAATACATTGTAATGAGTCGAAAATCTTTTCATAACATGTTCCATATCGTCCTCTGATTTGTTTTCATTATCATTACCATCATTTCGATGTTCTTCAGTTTGTCCGGGATCCTCATTGTCCACATCATTGTCCAGTGATTCACGCTCATCCACATTCTCCATATCAGCATCATCAGCAGTATCATCATCTTTACTATTTTTGTCATCATCACCATCAAACATATCTTTATCATTTTTGTCTATTTTTAAAATTCTGTTCATCGTTATCCG